ACATTGAATATGAAAGGACATTTTTGCTGCTAATTTAATGAAGGGAACTGTATTTAAATTCTACTGTGTCTCTTCCTTTTTTTGTTATTTTTAATAGGCCTACGTTTTATTCTTTTAATAGTAGGTAGCCTACATACATACATACTCGCAAATTCTGTTTTTCTCTGTGAAATATATGAATCATAGAAATACAAATACACTTTCAGCAAAAAGCTCAAATGTGTATGGCAGATACAAGCACGCACTGCTTTAAATCTTGCTTGTCCTTATTCAGTATGTCAGTGTATTCCAATTTATATCTGCTGACACATCTCATGAGAGCATGAATACAGTGATGCAATATATGCTTTGTCCTCCTTTTCTGAAATTACAACAAACTGTAAAACAAGAAAAAAAATGATGGATACAAATCTTTAAGCAAATTCATATTTAGATATTTTTGCGAAAATACTGGTTTCATTGGAAGTTTTGATTAAAGTTTTTTGAAGCAAATGATGTGAAAAAGCTTGCTTTAACCTAACATGTAACAATAAAAACCTCAATTGGGTTGGATCAAGGCTGGATTCTGCGTATGTCTGTGACTGTGCGTGTTATTGCTATTATCGCTATTTGTCCCAGATGGCCATTATAATAATCTCTCTGGAGTGCAAAATATCCTTATATTATGTGAGATAATTAAATATTATTTTTTCAATGACCTTCATTCTCAGCTGAGAATTCACTTAGTGATATAAATACCATATTTTTATCTTACACTGATTTGTTTACTGAATAATTTGATCTTAAAACAATAAAGCATTACACATTACATAGATGTTCTTTTGTACCATTTTGTTTTTATCTATGACAAAGGTTTAATATATATTTTGTTGATTAGATTGTTGCATCAAAAAAGTAAAGTTATCATGATAATTTACAAAAAACAAACAAACAAAAATAGATAAATTCTATAGATTTGTAAAGTTGCTCATTTTTTTAAATCACAAAATTAAACATTTTAAATTCTGATATTAATAATTTTATTTCTAAATCACAAGGATTTTGCAGTTTGAGTGTTTATAGGGGAACTATTTTCAGTAAGAACAGAAGTTGTTGTTGTTTGTGTAAAATCATTTCTCTGTGTACATACATTGTCATGTAGTATACTTGATTATGTCAACAGAGGCTTTGTTAACAAACTATGCCACCTTAGAGACTGTTGTTTGCTAACGTATGTTTGCTAACGACGGCACATTCACAAAGGTATGCACTCATTAGGAATAGAGAAAAAACAAGTATGGGGAAATGGCACCCATCATTAGGTTTTTTATGATACAATGTCTGTTTGTATTTCAAAAGATAAACTGAAGATCATGTAAAACAGTAATCTGATGGCCTTTTTATGCTCTCATATGTTCTGAACTTTGACCTCCTGAAAGTCAAAGTTACCAGGAGGTTAATGTTCAATACGTGTGTACCTACAGGACATGAGAGTATGTGTGCCATCAGATTAAGACTACAGTTATAAAATTCTATACAAAATCTCATTAAAAACATTCCCATCAGCACCAAGTGCTAAATTAAGGACAATATTTAAAAGATCATTTATACATTTTCAGTTCATAACCAATGATCAATACTACTTCTACAACTACTACTACTACTAATAAGTATAATAAATGTTTAAAAAATGGTACTAAAACTGTCAATGGGCAGTACCCTTTCAAAAGGTACTAATATTTACCATTTAGGTACTAATATACCTGTATAAATGTATGTAAGTTTTTTACCTTGAAATATCACTTTCAAGAATCATTCTGATGGTACACTGACTATAATAAGGCCAATGGCTTCTTTTTCCCATGCTCCATGAGGGCACGGGAGAGGAAAACAATCACTATCTTAGTACATACTACATTACCTTTTCTTCTGAGAGTGTAGAAAGAAATGATTATACCTGGAGCCTGTGCATCAACTGTTTTACGTCATTCCCTTCTATATATTTATAACAATTTGTCTGTTAAACCCGCATATATCTGTGATTGAAGCAGAATGCACTTCATGATACCTAATGAAAGCGGTATGCAATGTGTGCCTTCTCAGTGTTTTCAACCAACTGATTACAGGCTGATTCCATAATTCTCTAACAAAACATCTTTGGTTGATTACACTATCAAACTTGTCTGCTTTTTTATTATTGAAACTGTGTCATGTTAATTGTGAATTGTGTATTGTGTACATTCAGAACTCTAAAACTGTTCTAAGGACTTTTAACTCATCATGTCAGTGGGAAACGTCAGCTTTATAAAGGATTTTGTGATAGTCGGCTTTCCTGGACTTCTGCCTCATTACTATGGCCTTGTGTCAGTGCTTCTGTTTTTTGTTTATGTGTTTACACTGGTGGGAAATGCTGTATTTTTGGCATTGTTTGTAATGAGTAGGAGCCTTCAGAAACCTGTTTATTATTGCATTATAAATCTAGCTGTGTGTGATGTACTATTCAGCACAGCAACATTACCAAAAATAATCAGCAGGTACTGCTTTCAAGATGGAACCATTTCATTCATGGGCTGCTTTCTTCAGATGTTTTTTGTGCATTATTTTGGCTCAGTCACTGCACGATTGTTGGCAGTAATGGCTATAGATCGCTATGCAGCAATCTGTTTTCCACTTCGGTATCATAGTCATGACAAAGAAATATTTTCATTCTGATCTTGGGCTCTTGGTTGTTGGGTTTGATAGGCCCCTTGATGATGATCATTCGAGCTTATCCTCTTCCTTACTGTGCGAGCAATACCATTGTGCACTGTTGCTGTGATCATATTGCCATCACAACACTGGCATGCACTGACAGAGAAGAATATAGTTATCCAGCATTCATTCATGCTATGATAGTACTGCTGGGCTCTCTTGCTGTAATTGTTTTCTCTTACTGTGCTTTCATTGTGGCAGTTCTGCGTATATTGAGCACTCAAGGAAGGATGAAAACTTTCTCCACCTGCAGTCTCATCATAATTGCCCTTTTTTTCCTACCCAGATGTTTTAATTATTTGTCAAGCAATATTAATATAAAATTCAGTACTGATTTGCGATTAGTCATTATTATGATGTATAGCCTTTTACCACCCATGATCAACCCCCTCATTTATTGTTTGAGAACAGATGAGGTAAAGAAGGTTTTAATAAGAAAACTTCAAAGGAAAAAATAGACATTAAATCAGGGAAGACTTGACTGTACCTTTTTTGTCTGTAGTCTTATAATATTTTATTTATATTGGCCTACTGTTTATATTTTCTGAAATTCACATGAGCAAAAGGGAATAGAAATACAATTTTAATGAAATGGTTTGCTATTTTAAAAGCTCATTTATTTTTAAACTATGCATTTCTGAAGAAGTCTATTTTTGTACATAGAAAACTGAGTGTCATACAAATATTTGTGAGGTCTTATATATTCGAGTCCTTTACATAAAATATTAATATTTATATATTTTACAGTAAATATAAATGCCTATGATATCTAAATGTGAAAAATATGGTTCATAATTATGTGCAAAAAAATTGTGATATATATGAATACTGAAACTTATTTTGCTGCATTTAATTACAGTAATGTCCAGTCATGAATCCAGTGTATTTTAAGCAACTTTAAACAACATGTACTTTGCTTTATATAGGCTACATTTATTTAGTCTGTGACACTAAATAAATGATTAACAGATCATCCTGGTCAATAATTAGATTCATGCTAAGCCAAAAAAAAAGAGCATTTACACCAACATGTGTGTCAGAATGGACATTTGGAATCCAAAGTGAAAGAGGAAAACAATATGAAGTTATGTTATTTGAATTACATTGTCCGGTATTTGATCTCTGGATTTTACACACAATTAAAAAAAACATACACTTGCTTGAATGTACCACTAGATGGCAGAAAAAGACCATTTATGCCGCTGAGATTTTATATAAGCGTGTGGCATTGTTTGTCTCATGAAGTTTATGCATTTAGCAGACGCTTTTATCCAAAGCGATTTACAGTGCATTCAGGCTACACATTTTTTACCAGTATGTGTGTTCCCTGGGAACCGAACCCACGACCTTTGCACTGCTAAAGCAATGCGCTACCACTGAGCCACATTTTCATTCTTATGCTTGAATCAAACATATAAGCCTTTGAAAAGGGTGAAACAATAAACTGAAACACACACACACATAAATCTGTGTATATGGGTTAATTTTCATTTTCTTTATTCATTACTAAAAACAGGAAAATAATAAATGTAGAGAGACAAGAGCAACATCAGCAGATCTCAGACCAACAGTCTCATGTCAAAATGGGCTACAAATTCAAACAGGAATACATTATGAAATAGTATATTATTTAATCACATGTCTTACTTGATATAACAAAATACATTTATAGAAGACAGTGAACACAATGTGTAAGGTCAACATAGTAACAACTGCTCACAAAAAGTCAAACTGCTCTTTACTTGTTTGTTTTTGTCTTAACAACACAAGGTTAACGAATAAAGGTTAGATAACTGTACAGTTTTGCATATATTTTAATACATATATACAAATATTTTGCTTTCAAAAGTTAATTTTTCAAATTATGCATTCATGAAAAGATTCTTCACTGACATTATTTGTACTGTAAGTCATAAAGACCTCTGGGGACCAGCAGCTGTTACCTACATTCTTCAAAATCTAGAATTTGGTAATTTGGTAAGATTTTAGTATAGGGACCAATTCTCACTATTAACTAGTTGCTTATTAGCATGCCTATTATGAACATATTGGCTGTTTATTAGTACTTATAAAGCACATATTCTGCATGACCATATTCTACATCCCTAATCCTACCCAATACCTAAACTTAACAACTACCTAAGCAGCAAAATAGGAGTTTATTGAGGCAAAAGTCATAGTTAATGGTTTGTTAATAGCGAGAATTGGACCTTAAAATAAAGCGGTAATTTAATTCCCAATCATTAAATATAAATAAATAGACATTTCAGTCATTTAAAAATGTTATCTCTAATTGGTGCAGATTTGTTTTTAAGCACTTTTTGAATTATGTCTTTGATTTCAGCCGTCTTTAAAACATAAATGATAGGATTTAGCATCGGTGGAACAGCATAAGCCAGAGAGGTGCTGATGACCCTTGCATTGGGTGTGAGAGAAACCAATAATGCAGCAATGTATGAACAGCATATTGGCAGGAAATATATCCCTACTAAAAACAAGTGAGAGAAACAGGTCTTCAGAGCTTTTAAACGTCCTTGCCAAGTTGTAATTTTGATTAAAGCAAGAAAAATTCCCATATATGAAAGGAATATAATGATCAATGGTGCTACAAGGTATAAAGCTGAGACAAGAAATGCAATGATCTTATTAATACTGTTGTCATTACATGCCAACCTAAACACTGGTCCATGATCACAAAAATAACTCTGTATCACATTAGATTCACAGAATGAAAGTCGGGTGATCAAAGACACCATCAAGGCCACAATCGAAAAATTAAATGCCCAAACTGCTGAGAAAACTAAAACCATACTGGTATTGTTTACAAGAGCATGATATCTTAATGGCAGGCAAATTGCAATGAAGCGATCATATGCCAGAACAACAAGAGTGACACTTTGCATAGAACTGAAGAGGAACACAAAAAACATGTTTGCCAAACAAGCATTGAAAGAGATGTACTGTGAGTCAAACAGAAAATTATTCATCATGTTAGGAATCAGTGCATTAGTTTCACCAATATCAGCCAAGGCCAAATTAAACACACCAATGTACTTTGGACTGTGCAGACTTCGTTCAAAAGCAATAATGAGAAGCACTATAGAGTTCCCAATTACAGTAATAAAATAAATCATAAATAAGAATATATAGTAATAACTGCTGTACGGTATTCCTGAAAGTCCAACAATGAAAAAGTATTTAGGATGAACAATGGAGACATTCTGGGAAAAGCTTGCATTTAGAGAACTCATGGCAGCTTTGCGTTTGGTGTTTTGAGCAAGCTGAAAATAGAAATTACCACAAAAACATAAGCAAAATCTAGGAAATTTACAAAACTGTCATTTTAAATGTCACTACAATTTAAAATTCTGAAAATATACCTTCATGTAATTTAGCATAAGTATGTATGTATATATAAAGCTTTAGAGTCTGAGCAAACAAGGACAGTGACTGTCTGAATACTTATGAGCTGCTTTGAATTAAATTACTCTGCTACAAATGCTGGTCCTTATCCATTCAGGCCGCAAAGATCACTGGATATTTGTGTCACTGAATCCAAATATATCTTCTGATTCATCTCTTGAGAGCCTTCAGACGATACAGTGATGCAATATGTTTTGGCCACTATAGTTTGGATCAATGTTTTATTTACTGGTCTGCAAGCAGTCCTCACAACAATTGTGTTCTCATTTGTGAACAGGAAGCATTAAATGAATAAAATGGAAGATAAAATATTTTTGTTAAAGTATTTTGTTCATCATTTATATTCAGTATTATCAGTTGGTAACAATATCAACAATCAGTTTAGTGGTGACCAAAAAATAACCCCTCTGGGCCAGGGGTGTCCAATCCTGCTCCAGAAGGGTCTTCCAGAAGAGCTTAGCTCTCGGCCTCATGAAGTACACCTGAAGCAGCTAATCAAGCTCATCAGGATCACTATAAACTTTTAGGCATGTCTGTTGGAGCTAAACTATATAATTTACATTAGAATATGTGTTAATTATATAGCTTATTGTTATATTCTGATGTACTTCTGATTTGTTGACACTTAGGTTGTGCTTTTTTTTTTCTTTATGATCTACATTATGATCTATATTAATTTAGTGATTCTGATGTAGTTCTGATTTGTTGACACTTAGGTTGTGCTTTTTTTCTTCTTTATGATCTACATTATGATCTATATTAATTTAGTGATTCTGCTTTACAGTTGTGGACAAACCAGCTATGATTCAGTGGATTTAAGTTTTGATGCTGATACTTTAATGTATTTGTTCTGATTTTTCCTTCCTTATTATTTGATTTGATTTTGACAGCCAGAGTGAAATTTTATCACTATAGAGCCCATCCTGATAGAAGGTTATTAAAATAATTTGGATTCTTAAAATTGCTTAAAAGATACGAATATTGGAAAATAGTAAGTGTATCCAAACTTTTCACTAGTACAGTAAACAATTTAAATATTTTGAGCTTGAACTTGCCCCAGGTGATCTCTGTTAAGCCTTTTCTAAGAGGCAATTCCAGAATTTTCAACCGAGTCTATTCTGAGAATTTATTAATTAAAATTCAACCAGAAAACAGTGAAATATATAGAAGTTTTGTTGGACATGTTTTCAGTGGTCTGCAACCTGTAATTTTCCTGAGCTCACTGTTGTGGTCATTGCAATCTTCACAGTTTCTGGGATGCTGCTGACGTGAACTCTAACAGCCACATCAGAAGTGCAGAAACTGTTTAATATGACAACCTTACTGAGCAGCACCATATTCAGTATAAATCATGATGCCTGACAGTACAGCAGTTTAATACAAAAATGAAAAACAGAGTTGAATTCTCCAAAATATTATTAATACATCTGAAAGCTTCTATATTGCCACACCACAACACACAACAAGAGTCTTAATTCTTAATTATTCCATCTGGATTGTAATAATAGTATCCTGAGATATCTCAGAAATATTAATTGGTTTTTATTCATTCACCCATGAAAGGCAAGTTATTTAATTTCTGAAGCAAAAAACAAAAAACAAACAAAACACATACAGTATATAATGCATATCTACTGCAGCTAATCTAAATACGGAATAAGAAAATTACTGTATTCTGATGCTGATATATTGATATATTTTCTACTACTGTAAAAAAGTTTTCTGTATTTGTTGTGAAACTTTTGGCAAGTGTTGCATCATCTTTGATTGAAAAATCGAAAGGGTTGAAAGAGTGTTTACGTCTCAAAATAACTCTGTTGGTAAAACTTTAGCTGTTAATGAGCAGCACTCATAACAGATGACTAATTACTGTATGTGTTGATGCACAGGAGACCATGTACAAACAGCTCTGACACCTGGGAAAATCCTGTCTCCCATCACCTTGAGTACAGTAGATCAAAACATCATTAAAAAGTTGTTTAGAAGGGCAATGGCTCTGTGACCTTACAAAACTACTTTATTAACACTTTTTATGGCATAGTAGGTATAATTGTTGCATAATAAAACTGGAAGTCAGCACCAATGCATTACACACAGCCCTCATTTCATTCCCTGAAAATAATAAGCTGAGATTTTTTTCTTTTTCAACATATAATCAAAATATTATATTTCTAACTTAGTTTGCTAACAATAAATATGTTAGATACATTACATTACAGTAGTTTTTTTTTTTTAGATTATGAAGTCGGGCCTTTTCTGGCAGCTGTTAAAAAAACATTTACAAAATAATTATTAATTCTTATTTAATTTTGAGATCAGTGTATCATTAGATAGATCTTCATAATCACAATAATTTCTTAATTTCTGTCACAAGTGCAAAATTAATGGGTTGTTATCGAAATTTCGAATAGAATAACGAGACACATACCTGAACATATGTGATCACAGGGCTTCTCTTAACAACATCCATTTTGGCTTTTAGTCGAAAAATGTGTATACTTGGCGGAAATCGATGTATTCACACGATTACTTAGTATTTTCTTTAAATAAAATCGGTTAATAAAATGGTTTCAAACACCGGAAGTGACCACTCACAGATTGCATAATCCATCTGTTCATATCTCAATCCGCTGCAGAACCATCAATCAATCAGCATGCTCATAATTCCCGCCTTCCGATGACGAACCTCCGGTAAACTTCTGTCTCCGTAGGCCTACGTGAATTTATAGGCTACATAAAACTAACAAATATGCAATTATTATAGTATATAGCCTGTTTGTGTTTTTAATGCGGTTTGGGGTTCTTTAATAATAATAATAATAATAATAATAATAATAAAAGATGTTTACACGAGAAACCAGGGCTGCGTTCAGCCCCGACAAAAACGGTGCAAAACGTTTTTTAAATGGAAACGGTGGTGCGTTGAACACACTGTTCTGATGACGCAATTTTAGCATAAAAGGATCAAGTGCTGACAATGAAAGGCCATTTCTGATTTTATTGTTTCGTTGCACGTTGCAGTGTTTTCATTGGCAGAATTTAAAAAAAAAAATCTTTATTTTTGGTATTTTATATGGTCTGTTTATATGGTCTTTTTAAATTTATTTTATTTTTTTTACCAATTTGTCCTGTTCCAGAATTAGCACAAGGACAGAACAGAATAGAATAGAATAGAATAGAACGAAGCATCCATATACTAGCTGCGCCTGTCACACTTCCGGTCTGGACAGGAGTTCATGAAATCCCCTGATTTTTCATTCGTGTCCAGTCAGTGTAGACATAAGACCACTAAACACCATGATTAACCAACCAGAATCAGTTATTCCTGACAGCTGTGTAACAGTTGATGCATGAATATGAGGACTGATTGCTAGGCCTGTCACGATAACAACTTTTTGTTGTGTGATATATTGCCCCAGAAACAATTGCGATAAGTGATATTATTGTCATTTTAAAGACCATTTTATGCCACTGAATATATAATCATAATGTAACAGCATAATAATAATAATGCAAGAAGGCCTACACACTTCCAAATGACAACAAACTTTACATTTTTAAGAATATTTAGATAATGGAAATTAAGTATCAAAGCACAAAGAATTTGTATGGAGATTGTTCCATCTACAGATTTTCCCTGACCTTCTTTTCTCTGTAAATCAATGCACTGTATTGCTGAAAAACACAATCCCTACTTAGCAGTCAGATGTCCGCATGCACAAAGGCACAGATCCCTAAACAAGGCCATATCTGCAGATGAAACTTTGTTTGAAGAAGCATTTTTAAAATTTGAACAAGCACCTCATGACTACACCGCGTTATGTACGAGAAGCTGCAAAAGACACAGGCGCAAGTGGAATGCAAAAAAACCATGGTGACATTAATTTTTAAGTAAATATAATGGGCGATATATTGCGCCACCAAAAATTATTGAGGTCATGTACATATATACGATAAGTCGATATATTGATTATTGCGACAGGCCTACTGATTGCTATGCTAAAATGCATCAGCTATAATTTAACAGCATGTTACGTAGTTTTTGTGGCACTTCATAATTATTTACATATCTCAAGAAATGTAGGGTAATTAAAATGCATTATTCTAAAAGAGACTTTGAATCTCTCCTGGGCTGACAACACCACAGCAATGGCCAAGAAAGCACAGCAGCGTCTCTACTTCCTCCGCAAACTAAGAAGAGCCAGAGCCCCGGCCCCCATCATGTACACCTTCTAGTGCTGTACATGTGGAAGAATTGACAATAAAGCAGACTTGACTTGACTTGACTTGACTTGAATGGCTGAGAATTTAATTTCTGATGCAAATATTGTGACAATACTCATGTATCTGTTTAGCACAAGCAAATAAAGGTAAATCAAACACACACGCCAGTACCTTTCCTCATAATAATTAAAAATTTCATTGTGATCAGTGTAAAAAGTTTCATGTAAGTGTTTTGAAACTTTTGAGCAAGAGTTGCATCATCTTTGATTGAAAGTTTTTTTGCTCTAGGGTCACTTTTTGTTTTTCAAACTTCACCTGTTAATTAGCCACATATAGGCACAGAGACATGTAGAAACAAAATAATGTTTGATAAACAATATGTCACTCAGTGATCATGAAGGAGGCCTGCTTCTTCAGGGACCAAGAACAACAAGTAGCAAAATAAGACTCTGGGGAAAAGACAGTTTTTATGGCAACTGTTTGCATGTTACTGACTGTTTATCAGCAACAAATCAGATGCTTCTTGATGTATTAATTTCATTGAATGTCACCTAGCAATTGTACAGTAGAGGACCGGAGAGACACTGCATAAATCTCAAGAAAAAAAAACAAAAAAAAAAACAAGACTTAG